TAATAAACAAAATTAGAGAAATTCTGAAAATTATCAAAATTACCTAGGATCATGGAGACTCATCAACAAATTCACTTTTCAAATAATTGTTTTGATGATTTATATTTAATTATTAATAATATAACTTTTCTATCTTAATTTAAAGTTTTATAATACGAAAATAAATTTTCAATATAACTACATAATACATAAGAATTATCTTATTTTAGAAAAATATAAAATTATTAATATAAATTTTTTTTAGTTATATAATAAATATAATAATTTTTCTATATTAATTAAAAACTTAAATTTTATTTATAAAATATATTTCAAGATAACAACATATTTCACAAGAGAATCTTATTTTCTAAAATATGATATATTCATATAAATTCTTTTTATTTATAAATAAGTTATATATAATTTTTATATATTAATTAAAAATTGAAATTTTATTTATAAAATATATTTCAAGATAACAACATAATTCACAAGAGAATCTTATTTTCTAAAATATGATATATTCATATAAATTCATTTTATTTATAAATAAATTATATATATATTTTATATCTTAATTTAAAATTTAAGTTTTATATATAAAATATATTTCAAGATAACAACATAATTCACAAGAGTTATCTTATTTTCTAAAATATGATATATTCATATAAATTCGTTTTATTTATAAATAAATTATATATAAATATTAAAAATTATGTTAAATAAACAAAATTACCTAAACTTATGGAAACCATGACAACTAAGCAAATTTACTTCTTAAATAATAGTATTAGATATGGTGAACTGAATCACTCCAAGAGGTTAGCAGTCTAGAACGAGTTGACAGCACTCCAACCTGCACTAGGAGAACCCTGGTATTTATCAGGGGATTTCAACGAGATAATTGACAACAGTAAAAAGAAAGGTGGTATTATCAGAGCTAAAGGTACGTTTTGTGCATTTAGATCGTTCTTAGCACAGAACGATCTATTTGATCTCAAGCATTCCGAGAATTACTTATCTTGGAGAGGGAAAAGGAACTCCCATGTGGTCCAATGTGGACTAGATCGAGCTCTATGTAATAGTGAGTGGTCTGATCTTTTTCCGTCGGGTAGATGCTAATATCTCAAGTATGAAGGATCCGACCACATACCACTACTGACGTTCCTGGATACAACAAGGAGAAAAGGTTTAAAAATCTTCAGTTTCGATAGACGTTTGAGAGATAATTTGGAAGTAAAGGAACTTATCAAGAAAACGTGGGAAAGTGTACCTCGTCTCCATGTGGAAGAAAAACTCTCTCAATGCAGAAGAGTCATCTATAAATGGAGGAAAAAACCATTATGAAAATAGTAGAGAAGCAACTGAAAAAACTGAGGACTCAACTAGATGAAGAACTGTAAAAATCAACGCAAAATGAGGATGTAATTTACCTAATCAACAGCTGCCTCCTTCAAGCCTATGTCAAGGAGGAGGAATTCTGGAAGCAGAGGTTTCGGCAACTCTGGTTGACCCTGGGAGATGCCAACACAAGTTACTTTCATGCTATGGCAAAGAGGAAGGAAAGCAAGGAACATATTGACAGTAATGGAGGACGATAGAGGGATACCTTGCAAATTCTATGAGGGACATTTTAAATCCACGAAACATGATAGCACTGAGACTGTGTATGAGGCCCTGCAACCTCGTATTAGTCAAGAAACCAATGATATATTTATCAAGGACCGTACAACATAAGAGATAAGAGAAGCTACCTTCGCAATTCATCCATACAAAGCCCATAGCCCTGATGGATTCTCAGCCAGTTTCTTCCAAGCTAATTGGGAAATGGTGGGTCAAGCAGTCATCGGAGAGATCAGAATTTTTTTGCCACGGGTACAATTAGATCCTCGCTAAATGAAACACACATGAGAATAATTCTGAAGAACTCAGGAGCTAAAAAGGTATCAAGTGTTCTAACCATATAAAAATATAAACAAATTGTTTAAAAAGACCTAAGACTCTCTATGTGATTCAGAACAGCATGGATATTGTAAAAACATGGTATGTGGCTAAACCTATATGACCGAGTGTGATGTTTTCATATGCAAGCATGTAAGAGTATAAAGTAAAGAGACTCATTCACTAGAAAAGGCCGCAACAAACCATTGCTATATGGTATCCATCACACACCCGTGCCTACCATTCTAATCTAGAACTACAATAAAAAAGGAGCTACTACTCTGACAAGTATAGTTCTCCATAACAAAACTACCAACAGATCTCTCCATCTGTCTAGTAGGACGACGTCACACACATCCATGTGCATCTCCAATAAATCCTAGACGCGTAGTCGCTTCCTATCATGCGTTGTTCTCTTTATACTTGAATAAGCAAAACCCTAGCTCATTAAGCCCATTACTCTTTTTTTTAATACATATTTCGTCAACCAAATATATGAGAATATTCCATATCACCGCATCTTGATGATTCCTTTTTATTCTCCGAAGTGTGTGTCACACACCATTATCTGTGTGTAACACAAGTACGCGAACCAAAGCTCCAACACTGTAGCAACTTCTCAAGCTCCAGATTCTTGAGCTTACATTCTCCCCCTTTTTCACTGAGTTTTACAACACAAGCTCAATAACCTTCAAACACACTACACATCTTAAACTCACCCTGAATTAAGTACCATCTCTCCTTGCTTGAATGGAAAATTCTGTGAAAAATTTATGACACTTGTTGGACCAGAATCAAAAGTCGCCAGATCTACCATTGACTCAAACAGCAGAGAATCCATAAACTCTAACACTCCTCTCGATATCTTCACGACATGACTATTCTCATCCTCTTCAACTTTACAGCTAGCCACAAATACCATATCCAAGATCTACCCGAAATAAGATGAATCTCTACGAGCACCCGCTCTGATACCAATTGTAAAACACATATGAATCTCTACGAGCACCCGCCCTGATGGATTCTCAGCCAGTTTCTTTCAAGCTAATTGGGAAATGGTGGGTCAAGCAGTCATCGGAGAGATCAGAATTTTTTTTGCCATGGGTACAATTAGATGATGGGCCGGCCCTGAGAAATAGGAGGCCTAAAGCGATTTTTAAACGGTTTCACCTAAAATTTTTTTTTTACATATTTGGGGGCCTAAAAAAAATTTTTGGAGGCTTATGTACATGTGATTTTTTTCAAAAAATTGGGGGGGCCAAGGCGAATGTTTCATCCGGCTTGGCCCAGGACCGGCCCTAGATCCTTGCAAAATGAAACACACATGAGAATAATTCTGAAGAACTCAGGAGCTAAAAAGGTATCAAGTGTTCTAACCATATAAAAATATAAACAAATTGTTTAAAAAGACCTAAGACTCTCTATGTGATTCAGAACAGCATGGATATTATACAGACGACTATTTACAAGTCCATGCTTGAGCCTAGACTCGTCTTCTGCGATTCCTTTAAACTTATCAACTCTGTGGAACTTGTTTCTCTTTGGATCATAATATAAAACATAATATGATTTAGGAATCTATCTGGAACATAAACGAACTCACCAGCATCTGTGATATACCAATCAAGTTGAATTTTATTTTCAAACTCTGAGCGTAGTAAAATGAAGGTACAAGGAAGTTGCTACTCGACCATTCATGTTTCTCTGCATCCATCAAAATCCACAGTATAGTGACATCATCTGCAGCGTTACCTGTAACACAAGCTAACCTTCCCTCATATGATGCGAGTATACCACTACCACTCCATGGTAGTTTTATCATATGGAACTCTTCAGATGTGACATCAAAACTCATTATAACGCAAACTGTCTGATCAGTATATGTATATGCTCTATAATACACAACCCCGTTAATGCATACATACACACAGGGTTGGCCCATCCCAGCAGGGGCCTTATTCCAATTTGGAAAATGGGTCATTTTTCCTTTATAAAAAATTATTTTATTTTATTTTTATCTAAGCCTAAAAAACCACAAAATTTTTTGGGTCCTAAGCAGTGGCTTATTTGGCATGTGGCCTAGGCCGAGCATGCATACACGGTTCTGAAAGTAAGACTATGCTCATGGTTGGTTTTGATCCTTCTCCATGATTCTTGAGCTGATCCCAATGTTAAAACCTGACACTCGTCTATGTTTTCATCAATAGGCATGCCCAAAACTTTGTGTTTAGCATTGACTGGATCGTATCCTAAAAAGAATGTTGCATACTTCCAACTTTTTTTTTTGATTTGGTTAGGGTTAACAACTTTCTCGTTTGTAGGGTTCCAGATTATGGGTTTTGCTGCTTCTGGAAAGTAGCAGATCAAGCCGTGGACAGATACCTCAGGGAAGAAACTACATGATTTAGGGCATGCCATATGATAACTATCAACATGCTGAGTCTCTTTTAAATTTGGATGATCATGAGGAATCAAGAACAGATACAACTTTTCATCTCTTTTGAAGGAGAGTGCAATACTCGGCTTGTTTGTGGACCGAGTTTCGAACCTGTTGATGAAGTATGGATCAGTGGTGACAGATGACCAAAGCTTCGAAACAGAACGAAATCTCACAATAGATTTGAAAGGCAGCTTTGAGAGTATCTCCGAGAATAAATCAAGAGGAAAAGAAGATGTTGAGTCTTGAGAATTTATTCTTGATTTCTTGTGGATTTGTTCAGTTGTTTCCTGTTAATGATCAATTGTAGGTCAGCCCTAAAGTATTCACTCTATAAACTCTCTGTTGTTTTGTCTGTTATACACTTTTATAAGTAAAAGACAAAGTATATAGTTTCCTTTTTTTAACATAAGAGATAGTTTCCCTTTTCCTTTATGTAAACGGAAAAGAAGGGATAATTATTTATTTTTGGTAGATGATTTACTTTGTTTTTTTTTGTTACATTTTTTTTTTAATTTTGATACTATGAAGAAGAATAAACAATCCAGATTACAATTAAAATGTGAAGGTATAATAAGATAAAAAAAACTGCATTACACTAAGCAACATTCTATCGAAAGAAAAAAAAAAGGAAGTGTTAAAAAAATACGAGACTCTCCATGTGATTCGAGACAATAGGAATATTAAACAGACGACTTCTTACAAGTCCATTCTTAAGCCTTGATTCATCGTCTGCGATTCCTTTATACTCAACTCTGTGGAACCTGTTTCTCTTAGGATCATAATATATAACATAAAACGATTTATAAAACCTTACTGGTACATAAACAATCTCGCCTGAATCCGTGATACCAATTAAGTTGCAAGCTATTTTCAAACTCCGGTCGTAGTAATAAAAAGGCACAAGAAAATTTTTAGGAGACCAAACATGTTTCTCTGCATCCTGTAAAATCCACAATGTAATGCCATCACCTGGATAGTTACTTCTAAAACAAGCTAACATTCCCTCATATAGTCTGAGTACACCACCACCAATATTATTCCACGGAAATTTTATCATATGGAACTTTTCAGATCTGACATCAAAACTCATTAGTATAGTGCCAGCATTCTCGTTTTGATCAGCATATGCTATATAATACAAGACCCCGTTGATGCAGTTATAACTGGTATAGTAACTCCTAAAAAGATACTTATGGTTGGTCTTTATCTTTCTCCATGATCCTTGAGCTGATCCTAGTGTCAAAACCCTACACTCGTCTACGGTTTCATTAAAAGGCATGCACAAAACTTTGTGTTTGTTATTGATTGGATCGTATCCTAAGAAGGCCACTGTATGCTCCCAATTCTTTTCGGGTTTGGTTAGGGTTAAGAACTTTCGGATTGTAGGGTTCCAAATCATGGGTTTTGATGGTTTTGCAAAGCAAATCAAGCCTTGGACAGATACCTTGGGTAAGAAAGAACAGTGTTTGGGGTATCTCATATGATAACTATGAACAGGCTGAGAAGAAATCGAATGTGGCTGGTTTGGAGTCTGACGGTCTTGCGGAATCGAGAAAACAAACAACATGTCACCTCTTTTGAATGTGACTAGAAGACATGGCTTCTCTTTTGTGGACCGAGTTTCAAATTTGTTGATGAAGTATGGATCGGTGGTGATTGATGACCATAGCTTTGAAACACAACGAAAACCTGCCAACAGATTTAGCAGGCAGCTTTAAGAGTAACTCCGAGATAAGATCGAGAGGAAAAGAGGATATTGACGGAGATTGTATTCTTCTTCTTTTGTTGATTAGTTCGGTTGTTTCTTCTTGCTGTTTCATTGTTTCTCAAACCCTAATCTCTTCCCTCTCTACGTTTTTTTTTTTTTTTTTTAACTCAAACTTCAACTACTCATTCACCAAATCATTGTTATACAAAGAGTTTATCAGCCTCCATACAATCAAATAACCAACTAGGCACGATAGAATACAACTTAGGGACAAAGGACGTAAACGTAGCAGTCTCCTTTGCTATTCTATCTGCAGCTTTGTTACCACTCCTTGGGTAGTAAACCACTTCCACCTCATTAATACCGGCCATGGATGATTTAATCTGTGAGAGAATGGGATTAACTCTTGGCCAAGTCTCTTCTTCTCCATTCAGCATCCTTGCCAAAACCTGAGAATCAGTTTCAAACGTAATATTCTTATATCCAAAACCAGCCAAAGTATGCACCGCCCACCGTAGAGCTTCTGCCTCGCTTTCTAGCTCAGATCCCATTCCATCCAGTCTTCTTGCCCCGGCCCACAGCATATTTCCTTGATGATCTCTCAAGACCCATCCAACTCCACCCTCCCCACTCTCATGCTTCCATGAGCCATCAGTGTTACATTTTAAGCGTGTGGGTTGGGGAGGAGTCCACTTCTTTGTTGCTGTTGCTGCTGTGGTTACTTTAACCTCTTTCTCTTTAGCCTCTTCTCTTTTCTTCCACGCCTCTGCATCCTCTCGAGCTTTTATTACCGTTGCCAACACATGGTACTCTTTACCTCGAAATAGAAGCTCATTACGGTTCTTCCAGATTCTCCACATAAGCCAAGGGGCTAGACCTTCTTCTATCTCCTCCTCTGGGTACTCTTTTTTTAGATTCAAGACCCAATATAGATTAGAGTAGAAGGAATCAGACCAGCTTCCCAAGGGGGGGATATGAACGTTTGCCTCAGCCCATAATCGCCTTGCGTACGGACATTGAAAGAGAAGATGATTCTACTGCAGCTTTTATCTTTGCCTATACGTCTGTGTACCATGTTAGCTGCCACTGGTAAGGCATTACTGAGACATCTCCATAAGAAATGGCGAATTTTTGGGCTGGTGTCAGCTCCCCATACCTTCTGGTAAATCCCATCTAAACTCGGTTGCAGCACCTCTGGAGTCTTAGTGCTTGCCTCAATCACTTGTACCTGAACCCAGTAGGCTGACTTCACCGTATAGTGACCAGACTTTGTGTACTCCCAAGAGTACGTATCCTTACCAGCTCGGCCTGCAGGGTGGACTCTTTTGATCTGATCTCGCATTTCCGGTGTAAACAAAGCGTCCAGTTTCTCTTGGTTCCATTCTCTACGATCGTTGCAGAGGAGCTCACTCACCGTCATATCTTCAGAGACCCGCATTCTCACTTCTGTATCATTGAACTGCATCGCTGTAGCTGGTTGTGCTGGCTTGCTTCCTATCCACCTGTCTGACCAAACTCTAGTCTCGTTGCCGTTGCCAACCATCACCCTTGCTCCTTGTTGGACTAATTTTTGTGCCGCGTGGATGCTCCTCCAAGCATAAGAGGGCCTAGTACCTAAAGGGGCATTCAGAGGGTCGGATTTCTTTAAAGTATCTGCTGCGAAATACCCTGGCCACCAAAGAGGACTTATTTGTGATCATTCGCCACAGCTGCTTCCCAAGAAGGGCTAGATTAAAAGCCTCCAGGTCTTTAAAACCTAAACCACCTCCGCTTTTCGGTTTACACAAATTTTCCCAGCTCTTCCAATGCATCCCACGTGATTCTTGGTTATTCCTCCACCAGAAATCTGACAAAATAGATACAATTTGCTGACAAATCGTCTTAGGGAGTAAGAAGCAGGCCATGGTATAAGTCGGAAGCGCCATCGCCACAGCTTTTAGTAGGACTTCTTTGCCACCGCCATGGCCCTCTCTACGTTTTCTGTTTTTATCCGAGTAAATAATCTCTATTATGAAGTTTTTAAAGTAAACAAAAAACTATAGCAAAGCAAATAAAAGTACTATCCAAGATATACTTTTCTATTTATCTCCAAGAGAATGTTTCGCTTTTCGTTCGATTGTTTTTGTTTTCAAGATTTTTGGGTATATTTATGGTTGAGTTTGCATTTTTCTACAAACTTTAATTTGGACATTGTGGCCTGCTACCAAAAAAAAAGAAGAAATTTAAGTACATCGTTCAAATAATCATTGAAGATAACAATTTGAACACCTACATATTCGATCATACAATGATTTTTCTTTAGTAGCACATAAAGATAGGCCTGCAAAACAAGTGAAGACTCATAGAAAAAAAAGCTTTTCAAGTTAAAGAAGTTTTTTTTTAAGAAAATGAAAACGAGAAAACAGCCATTAAAATCTCGAACTTTCATATTAAAGCTAAAAAAAACCTGTAACTCATGTTTGAACTCAAAAAAACTTTCAACTTTCAAATATTAGCCGTTTTAACTTTCATATTTTGTTGATTCAGCCATTTAAGAAATCCGAATAATCAACTCTTAAACGTGATTATAAAAATAAATGTATGTTAACTCTGTAAACGATGTAGTTTTAAAAAATCAATCAAACAATGTTGTTTTGCTTTTTAAACACTTAAAGCACCTCTTTCGCGAAACTAGAGTTATAAATCGACTTCATCTTCCTGACTCGAAATTGAGAAAGATGAAATCGATTTGGGTTCTTGTTTCACGAATAAGATGTTTTAAGTGTTTAAAAAAGCAAAACGACGTTGTTTTTAATTAACTTTAAAATAACATCGTTTAAAGAACTAACAGACAGACTATTTTTGTAATTCAATTTAACCGTTGACTATTTGAATTTTTTAAATAGGAGAATAAACAAAATATAAGAGTTAAAACGGTCAATATTTAAAACTCTGGTAATCATGAATATATATATAAATAATAAAAAAAATGAGTATTATGGAAACCGTGGCAAGGCGAAAATGCATTTCATGGTCGAGATAATGATTATGACAGTGGATAAATGTCATTTCAGTGATCAAAATCAATATATAGGTCGGAGATCAAAGTCAACGTAACAGTAATAGTAAAGTGCATACAAAGATAGAGTCGGTTCAAAAGCAATTTGTTTGGTTATTATTTCAATGTGTAGTTGTTATACCGATTTTGAAAATTATAACGATTTTGTTGAATAATAAGAAACTATTTTTCCGTAAATATACAATAGATTTTATACATAATCATGTATAGAGATGGTATAGTAGAAGCTCTATAAATGGATATTCGATAAAATAATATTTGTCAAAGTAAGTATGATAAATTAATAAATTCAATATGTTTTGAATTTGGTATTTTGATACAAATTGTTTTAAACCCTTTAGGACTATAAATTGACTGAATTAATGGCCACATGCTAAGGACGATCTGACCAAGTAGGTCAGAGTTGAAATTTTACAACAATTTGACAAATAAGTAAGGCGATTTAGAGTGATAACGAGACTGAGTTCATCATAAAGTACTACAATTAGTCGAGCTTTTCGGTTTCAAACCAAAATCCCAATTCATTTTTGGAGCAAGTGTTTTTTGTTGCTGGATAGTTAATTAATCAAAAGCCATGTGAAATTTTGAAAGAGAAAACTCCATATGAAAATGAAATCATATATAGAACCAAGCCATAAGATGATTGATCCAGACAGAGTTTGTAGAAGGTCAAAAACCAATGGATAAAAATTCAACCTATCAGATCCATGATCTGCTCGTATAAAATGCTCAATGCCAATGTAACCAATTCTGGAGATTACCAAGACAAATATGGGCTCGTCAAATTGTCTTTGTAGAGAAGAAGTTTCGAATCAGCGAAATGGTAGTATAATACAAACAGAGTCTAAAAGAGAGTAGCCATTTAGAATGTATGTAGAGAGATGATAGTAGGTTCGCTACAGGTAGCATTGCTTACGTGAAGACAAGCAGACAATTTAGAGATAGTAAATAAAAACATAACCAAGAGTCGATGTTATGAATGGGTATCCTACTCCAGTCTGCCAAAAAAAAAAAAAAAAATCAAAGGAACATCTANAACAGAGTCTAAAAGAGAGTAGCCATTTAGAATGTATGTAGAGAGATGATAGTAGGTTCGCTACAGGTAGCATTGCTTACGTGAAGACAAGCAGACAATTTAGAGATAGTAAATAAAAACATAACCAAGAGTCGATGTTATGAATGGGTATCCTACTCCAGTCTGCCAAAAAAAAAAAAAAAAATCAAAGGAACATCTATAAGATTATCACATCAAAAAAGACACAGTGGAAAAGATATGGTGATATATACCTTGGCTTCTTGGGGTCATTCTGGGCAACTTCAAGGCTATCTGGTTGGTGTTGTTTTGGCCTGCACAGGATAAACTGACTCTTGCTACAAAAAGAGTAAAAAACCCTAGCTTGGAAGTCTTTGACTAGGTTGTTATCAGAAGGATCCTTGACTTGGAAAGTTATGAGAAACATGATCCCAACAGACGCGTGAAAATTGGCATAAAGAGCCTTGACAAATTCATATGCTGTATTCTGTAAGAAAAAGAAGAGAGATTAACAACCAAAAAAAAAAAGGAAGCAAAAATCATAAATAGACTCACGTTTTCCTTATTGTAGTAACCAATGGATTTGTCACAGAGCATGTTCACCAGATCAAGATTGGTTTCAGGCTTTTCAACAAATGCATCCTCATCGAATTCAACAGGATGGTACGAGTAAAGGCAGCGGGCCTTGGTCCAATCAACATCGAAACCCTACATAAAATCTTAAAACTCTAAATACTAACCAATCAAGAAAAAACCAGACAGACACAGAAGACAGACAAAACCTCGCTGGCTTCGATCTGTGCATTAATCAACTCATATTCTTGAATAGGTGTGAGCTGAAGCGTCTTGTTTTTCTCGTTCTCGATGATATGCTTTGGTCTCACCCAGTCAGGATCATCACGTTTACGCAGAAAATATACATCTTCCAGATACCAACCCCAAGCTTGTGCGTATTACAGAGAGATAACCACAAAGCATCAATATTGATTGATTGATTTTAAAGAAACAAAACCCACAAAAACTTTTTAGAGAAAATAACTCTACCATCGCATTCTTCACCCACCAAAGCTCCTTCGATTCGCACCATCGAAACCCTAATCTTTGCTCTTTCGATGCCGCTCCCTTAGCTGCTGAACCCTAATGTTTGAAAAGTGCTCCTCGTCCTTTTAAATAAACAATTTTACAATCAAGTCCCTCAAGGTTTCTTTACTCTTTACATTTCGCCTCATATTTTCCTACCTACACACCCCCGCCCCCCGCCGAACTTACTTACTGCTGACACCTATATAGTTGAAAGGGAAAACCACATTTTTAACTTTTACTAGATTTCGACCCGCACAACCGTGCGGGTATATATTTTCATGTTTATATATAAATATATGTTTTATGGGTCAAAATACACATTTTTAATGTTACTTATAGTTTTTATGCTACAAATTAAAATCATCACATATATATGTTTCTTCTTATTATATATTTTTTCTTACCGAATTTATGTTTGATTATTAAACCAATTTCTTATGTATGAAAAAAATATTTGAAAAATATTTTATTTATAATTTATTATGATCGTAATCCGTAATTCAAAATGCTAGATTAGCAATTTTTTATATTTATTCGTTTTATATAATAAATTACTGTATATATAAAGTTTAGATAAATTGGCATTCATACATGAATTATATAGTTTATGAATGTTAACCCGTTCTACGAACATATTAGGTTTTTAGAATAATTATTTTATATATTAACATAAATAAACTAACTTATCAATTTCAAAAAACTTTATCATATTTAGTTCAATATAATGGTTTTCTTTTAAAATGATAGATATTATTAGAAAATAGATAAAATATCATATAATTTTATTCTTTTAATTTTATAAAATATAACTGAATATATATATATATATATTAGTAGAATGTATTTTGAAATTAATCAATTTCATTTTTTATTATGAGTGAATATGATAAAAATATTTAATATTCATTTATACACAAAAACTAAATTCAATTTTAATTTCTAATTATATTTTATGATAATTTAAGGTNAATATCATATAATTTTATTCTTTTAATTTTATAAAATATAACTGAATATATATATATATATATTAGTAGAATGTATTTTGAAATTAATCAATTTCATTTTTTATTATGAGTGAATATGATAAAAATATTTAATATTCATTTATACACAAAAACTAAATTCAATTTTAATTTCTAATTATATTTTATGATAATTTAAGGTTAAATTAACTAATGTTTGAAAGTAAATTTAAAAAGATTCTAAAGAGATTTTTAAAAGATTTTGTTACAATATTTTAAATATATTCATTTGTATTTCAAATAAAATGATAGGCCTCTAAAAATATAAGATATTCAAAGATAGAATGAATTTATGTAAAATTTGGTATTTTCTAGGAATAGAGCCAGATTTTAAAATATCACATATGAAGTGAAGTCATGACTTCTGTTTTAATATATAAGATGTAACATCTACCGGCACTTTTGACTTTTTCACTAGCAAATCTCACTTTTAACATATAAAACCATGTGTTATTTACCTAAAAATATTTTTTATACGAATCTTTCAATAAAACTATTTTTTAATAAAATTATAATTTTTTTCAAAATTGATATATATATTATAAAATTTTGCATTAAAAAGATTTAGAAACTAAATGCTTACTAAACTCAAGACTTTAAAAACTTATATATATTTTTCTATTTTTTCTATTTTTTTTTTAAAAAATTGCGCTTCATGCGGGAATTTGTTCTATTTAATTGTCTTTTAACATTTTTTTAGTTTAGATATTTTTATTTTAATCCTTTTAATTATGTATGGAATGTTATTTTTTACTTTCTTCTAAATTGTTTTAGCCCTTTTTCCGTTGAACCTGTTTGTAAGACTCAAAATCATCGTTAGGGTTTTGTCTAAAATATTTGTCATAAGAAATTGCAATTCTAGTTCTAGCAATTAGAAAGATAATAAGAAAATTTGACCCCCCCAAAAAGATAATAAGAAAATATGAATTATTATATTTTTAAATGCAAGATACTTTTGTACTTTCTAAGAAAAAGTAAATGTTATTCTTATTTTTAACCAAGACGAAAACATTTTAAAGTTCTTAATTAAGTTTATAATATAATTGAAAATAATATAAAATGTTTGTTTTCATTATTATTTGTTATATATCATTTTTTACATCAAAGTAATTTTTACAAGGAATTTTAAATTAATTCAAATAAAAAATACAATTGACAACCAAAGGTGCTTGAACTAAAATTCTTAGTAAAATTTATGATATGTTTTTTATAAATTTGTTTTATAAAATCTTTTAACAATGCTATATATTTTATTATAATATTAAGCTATTGGTTAGGTTTTCTAAGGTAGCATTTTTTGAAACTCAAAAAAATGATTCTGGAAAAAAAATGTTACCAAGAAGACCTTAGAAATATAAGAGACCACTTTAAATTCATCTTATTTCTTCTGTTTGATAAAATCTCCAATCTTGAGTTTGTATAAAGTACATTTTAATTTTCAATATTAAGTAAGACTAAAGTGTAAAAACCCTTTGTTTTGAACTGTGACTATAGGGTAAACCTTGAGAAAACTTCTAGATTAGAGCAGTTAACAGTTAACACTTGAAAATAACTATAAATCTATATTTTGAAAGACACGTAGTCTACTCAATCCGAAAATTTTTAGATCTAAATATATATAAATTAAAAACTTGAAAATAACTATAAATCTAAAAACTTTATAAATATAATTTGTAAAATAAATTAGTAGTTATTATAGACATAGAGTTTGAATATGTAACTTTATTTAAATATAAACTAGATTTTGACCCGCGCAATCGCGCGGGTGTTTGTTTTCGTTTATAGTTAGTTATATAAACATTTTATTTTCACTTATAAATTGGTATATATTATAGTAATCACATATTTATGATATATATAGTAAATGTTTTTCAAACATAATAATATTAAATAATACGTGTTTTAATCAAATAGATTGTTTCAAATTTTCTATATTATACATGTTTTTCAAACATATGTTTGTTTCTTCTTCTATATTTTATTGTTTGTTAGATTAGTATTTCATTTTTAGATAAAGTAATATAAATAGAGCTTGATTAAATATTAGTATACTTTAATTTGCAAAGATAATATAAACTTCGAAGAAATTTTTTCTAAAAACTAAACTTATAACTTCATAAATTAATATTATAAAGAATTTTATTAAAAATAATTTTTTTAAACAATATTTTTTTAATAAAATTTTTAAAATTTACACCGAAATAAATTTATCTAGTATATATAGCATGTAAATTTTGTTAGGACATATAAATGTTTCATATTACGAATCTGTGATTTTTGTTAATATAATGTGGATGCATTTACATATTTCCTTATAAATAATAGAAGATTCTTAAACTTATATATATTGACATATTTTGCGTGACTAAGTTGGAAGGTGTGGAGTAACTTACCAAAACTAAATTGTTAAGCGTATCTTTGTTATTATAGATATGATTTTTCATAAGATATAATAATGGTAATAATAATGGTAATATTATTAGAGAGTTAATGTAACATGACTTTCTAGTAATAGTTCATTTTTAAAAAAATCACACATGAAGTCAAGTCATGACTTCTGTTTTAATATATAAGATACAAAAACACACATTATAGATGTAAATTTTACTATTTTTGAAGGAAGAGGTAAAAACAATGGAAGAAAATATCTGCAAAATAAATATAAAACTATAAAAACATATGAAAAAAATAAATTCATAACTTTGTAGACTTCTAATAAAGTCTACTTAAAATTTAAAGCTAGTAGACTTCTAATTATGAAATAATTCTCAGATCTGAATGATCTATACATTTAAAAATGTGAATCTTTTATTTTTGAGAGGAGTAGATAAAAACAATGAAAGAAAATATCAGAAAAATGAAAATAAAACTATGAGAAAAAACATTATCCAAAAAAAAATCACTCCTATTTTTGTAGACTTTTTTGTCGACTTCTAATGAAGTCTACTATATCAGATATTTTTCAAATCTGAAGAACTATGTACAAGTGAAAATGTGAAAAATAGTTTTTAATCTGAAATAAACTTCAAAAGTAGAATTTATAAGATAAAATACTAGCAAAGTATGTGCATAGAGTTTGTATTTATAACTTTATTTGAATATAAACATAAAAATTTACATTTAAAACTTATAGATCTAAGACTTACATTTTTATAGTGGAAAAGATAACCATGAATGAACCTGCCAACACAAGATAATATTGTGAATAAGACATTATAAAAAATTAACAAACTAAACAAAAGTACATCTTCACATTCAAAGAATTTAGAGAGAAATGAGAGAGTTTAGAGAGAAATGAGAGAGTTTTAGAGAGAAAGTGAGAGTGTTTTTAGAAATTTGTATAGCCATTTTAGAGAGAGATTATGTAAATCTATACTATTAAAGCTGAAGTACAAAAAATTAAGTGTTTGGAAACATGAATAAGAAATATTTTAAATTATGATGACTGGAAACAAGGATAGCCTACAAATCTAATGAGCTTATTTATTAAAGTAAAAATTATTGCGGCCTAAAGTACCATTGTTATTGTTTTTGGGTTTTCTATCCTTGATATTACTTTATTTTTGTGAACATTATTTATACATATATGTACTCATGTTTTAAATGTATTTGGAATAAATCAAGAATAATATATATTTTAATTATATAATTTATATTGACTATTGTTATAAATTTTTAACAGTAATATACTAGCCTTCTAATTCTTCGTTAAAAATGAACTTAAAAATTTGACTAAATTGTTTAGTGTATATAACTTTGCACCAAATTTAGCAAAAAAAAAACTTTATAAAATATTACTAAAATATTTACGGGTCAAAACATTTTACCGACGTCCTGTTACACAATACAGTAATGAAATACAATGTTTAAACAATATACTATTAATTAGTTAAATTGGAATCGTAAGATTGTGGTTTTTAAAATATTTATATATACCATAAAAATAAAGACCCGCCCAATTGGGCGGGTTATGATCTAG